TATTTGTTAGAAGGAATCTGTTTTTCTTTTTCTTTTTAATGGGATGAAAGGGTGGGAGGATGAGAAAATAAATTTCTATGAATTAAAAAATAAAACTTTGATTTTAAAATTATTTTTCTTTGTTTTAAGAGAGGGTAATATTGGGAGGAGAAGGGAACAAATTGGGAAATTACTGTATTATAAAAATCCAAAGAACTTAAAAAATAAAATAAATACAAAGCAACAGCTAATATTACCAAACACCCTTCTGCATTCCATGTGTATGCTAAACATAAATGGCAGCCTAAAGCTTTAAGTAACGATTAGGATGCACCGTTAGAATTCAAGAATATTAAGCCACAGCTGGAATTGCCAATGCACGGCATTAGTGTCCAGTAGCAACTTAACATGTCTTATTATACACACCCAGAAGAGACCACCTTTCAACCACCTCAGAGTTTTAGATCCTAGGTGACAACTACATACACACAGTGTGTGTGTGTGTGTGTGTGTATGTATTCCAAAGTTGGAGGCATCAGGAGATGGACAGCATTAACAATAAGGGGGACAGAAAAAGGCTTTTTGAAGAGGGTGGGATATGAGCCTTGAAAGAACACAGGGTAACCAGGAGACAGAGATGAAGAGAGATAATTCCAGGTATAGGGGATAACTGGTGAAAATGCTCAGAGATGGGAGATGGAATATGGGGAGGTGAAATGTCCTGTACAAGGAACAGCAAGGAGGACAATGTCACTAGATCACAGACTTCATAGTAAGGTGTAAAAAGACTGGAAAGGTAGGAAGTGTTTAGGTTATGAAAGGCTTTAAAAGCCAAAGAGAGGATTTTATATTTGATCCTGGAGGTAATAGGGAACCACTGAAGTTTATTGAATGGGGGAGAGACATGGTAAGATCTATGCTTTAGGAAGATCAGTTTGACAGCTGAGTGAAGAATGGTTTGGAGTGAGGAAAGATTTGAGGCAGAGAGCAAACCAGAATGCTGTTGTAATAGTGGAGGCATTAGGTGATGGTGGTACCCTCAACAGTAATAAGAAAGAGGATGCAATTAGCAAGTAACAATAATTAGGAAGAGGGGAGAGTTTGGGAGAAAGATGAGCTGTTTTGGACATGTTGAGTTTGAGGTGTCTATAGGACATCCAGTTCAAAATGTCAAATAGGCAGTAGGAGATTTAAGACTGGAGGTCAAGTGAGAAGCTAAGGTTACATAAATAGATATGTGAATCATCTTTACAGAGATGATAACTGAATCCATTGGATCAGATGAGCTCACCAAACAAAATAGTATAGAGGGAGAAAAGAAGAGGACCTAAGACAGAGAGACTTGTCAATTAACCAATAGTGAATGTGACCTGAAGATCCAGCAAGGGAGAATAAGGAGCAGACAGGAAGGAAGAAAACCAGGAGTAATAATGTCACAAAAACCCAGAGAGAAGAGAATATTAAGGAGAAGAGAGTATTCAACATTGTCAAAGGCTATAGAAATTTCATAAGGATACATAAAAGATATGGAATTACTTAACCAGAACAAGAACACAAGACGTAGAGGACATCCCTTGAAACATTTAAGTAACAATTTTAGGACAAATTAAAGTATTAGTGTTTTATATACATACATGTATGTATGTATACATACATATGTATACACATACATATATAGTGTAAATGTCTCTGTATGTTTGTGTGGGTGTATATACGTTTATTTTTAAGTACCTAAAGTAAAAAAAAAAACTTAATTTAAAGGTTTGAATTTTTATGTATTAGATTTTCTTAAACCAGCATACCTATAATTTGAAGAGTAGGAGAAATATTTTTGAAAGCTCCAGTTAGTTACTGTACAACAAAAGCTCTAATTGTTTCTAACATGTTCCTTAATTATTATTATGAGTTTGACAAAAATGAATCTTAGTTTATTTAAAGAACAGAAAAAGAGGAATATATAAAACAATGGAAGACATGTATAGCTTGATGTTTTTAAAGTATATAATTATTTAAATTAACATTTAAGATGCTTTCAAGAAATTATTAAGGAAAACTGCCCTGATAGTTGAGAACCAGAAGGTAAAATAGAAATTGAAAGCATCTACTGATCACCTCCTGAAAGAGATCCCAAAATGAAAACTGCCAGGAATATTATATCCAAATTCCAGAGGTCTCAGGTCAAGGAGAATATATTGCAAGCAGCCAGAAAGAAACAATTTAAATATCTTGGAGTCACAGTCAGTATAACATAAGATTTAGCAGCTTCTACATTAAAGGATCTGAGGGCTTGGGATATGATATTTCAGAGGGCAAAAGAGCTAGGATTACAACCAGGAATCACCTACTCAGCAAAATTGATTTGAATCCTTCAGGGGAAAAAATGGATATTCAATGAGAGAGAGGATTTTCAAGCATTCTTGATTAGAAGACTAGAGCTGAATAGAAAATCTGACTTTCAAATACAAGACTCAAAAGAAGCATAAAAAGGAGCACTTTCAGCATGGTGAAACTTGTCCATCCAAAGGAGTCACCCAGAGGTGTGAACTGGGGGGTGGGGGGGCAAGAGGGGGGGTCCTCAGGGCTGCAGCAACCAGCAAGAGTTAACAGGATGAACGGCAGAATTCCAGACCGGGGGAGTTCACACCTCCTCTGAGAGGCCCTAAAGGGGCGAAGCTACCTCCTATAAAAGCAGAGCCTCCTTCTGCTCAGAAGCACTGCCTTCAGTGGAACAGAAGTCTCTTCATTTCAGTTGCTTCAGAAAAGAAGCAATTGGAAAGAGAAGAATGGCTGCTGCTATGGAAATGCTGCAGGCATTGCAGACAGAAATCACCTGGAGCGTCTGTAGGAGCTACTTCTCTGAGCCAGTCACCATTGGCTGTGGGCACAGCTTTTGCAGAGCATCTCTCTCTTGGAGCTGGAGAACTAGAGCTATAGCTTTCTCTTGTCCTGAATGCAGGCAAGTGTCCCAGGTCAGAGAATTCCCAGTAGTCAATGGGAGCCTAGCACAGCTGACTGACCTAGGTAAACAGCTCAGCTCCCAACTGTTGCAGAGTACTCAAGGACAGAGCCAGTGTGCCAGGCACAAAGAAATGTTTAAGCTCTTCTGTGAAGATGACCAGAAACCACTCTGTGTGAGATGTTCCCAAAGCTCAGAACATGGGGCTCACATGATATCTCCTGTAGAAGAGGCTGCTCACAATTGCAGGGAGAAGCTCCAACACATTTGGAGTCACTTAGGGAAGTGTTTTGAAGAGGCTAAGAAACTTCTTGCTCAGGAGAAACCTGTTGTTGACTGGCATTGAATGATCACAGGAGAATATAACTAACTGCACCACTTCCTGAAGGAGGAAGAATCTCGATGTCTTGAAAAGATAAGGCAAGAGCAAAGGGCAAGCCAGGACAGAATGTCCCAGCATGTGCAAACCCTTTCAGGACCTCATTCTAGAGCTGCAGGAAGCAGGCCATCAACCCAATGTGGATCTGCTACAGGATGACAAGCAGTTGCTGAGAAGGAGTGAGTCAGTGTTGTCCCAAAGGTCCAAGGCTGTCCTCCTGATGGGGTAAGCACCCATCATTCAGTTTCAGAAGCCAAGACCTTTGCCCCTTTTGGCCAAAAGGAATTTGGCTCCCATTTGTTTACAGACCCCTGAAGACCCTTAAACTTTTGGATTCCTTATAGACTCCCCTTATCTCCCTTTGAAAGCCCTAGCCCCACCTTTTGATCTTATTCAGATGCACCTTTGCCCCTAGCCCTAAAAAGAATCTGGCTCCCATTGAAAACCCTTAAACTTTTTTTACTATGGTCTAACTCCCCTTATCTCCCTTTGAAAGCCCTAGCCCCACCTTCTGATCCTTTCAAACTTCTACCTTCCAGTCCCTCTCATTATCTATTCCCATTGTCTATTCAATCTCTCAGACCTTCCAATTGGAATTCTCTTCTAGACCCTTTTCCCAGCCCCCTCCTCTGGCCACCAAAGTTACTTTAGTGTATATAAGATCCACCCTGGCCCCCATTTAGGGGCTGAGACTTTCTCATGCCCAAAAGGCTGAGACTGTCTCATGCCTGCTCATCCCTATAGGTGTTACTAATCTTCAGGTTCCTCAAGAGTCTGGCCTATATGTTTTATCTCTAATAAACTTTTTCTGTGGCTGGAAGAAGATTTGAGTTGAATTCATTCAGGCAGGGCCCACGTCGCAATCTTGGGGTTCAAGCACCCCAAACCTCTAGACCTCTTCAATCCCAGAGCTGAGAGAATATCCCATCCCTGGCATGATAGAGCTACTCAGTCAATTCAGAATGGATCCTATACCAGCAAGTCCCTGTGTAATTGTTTCTGGGAATTTGAAGAGTGTGGAAGCTGGAGAACTTTGGCAGGTAGAGACCAAGCATCCTGAAGACTTGGCTTGCTATGCTGCCCTTGCTAAGCAGGCCTTCAGCTCAGGCAGACAGTACTGGGAGGTGGATGTGATTCAACTACCTCAGGGGATGCTAGGGATCTATACCCCTTATTTAAGGAGAAAAAGGGGGAGGAATGTGGACTCCTGTGACTCTGTGTTCCTGCTTCAATGTGTCAAGAAAGAAGAGGATTACTGTTTCCAAACCTATCCTGGACCATTGAAACATCGAATGAAAGGTGCAGTGCCCAGGGCTGGGGTGTACCTGGAATATTCTCCTGGCACTCTTGTCTTTTACAACATTCTCCAGCGCTCCCTCATTTGTAGAAATATAATAGTAGGTGTGAGCTATGGGAATTCTCTTTATCCCGGGCAGTGCTTTCAAAAGATCCTTCCCTGTTTCCACTTCTTTAACCACAAAGAGAAGTAACAGAAGGGAGGATAAGATTGGCTAAAAGCACATTTTATAACAAACCCAGGAACTATATGAACACAATTACAAAACACTTTTCACACAAATAAAGCCAGATCTAAATAATTGGAAAAACATCAGTTGCTCGTGGGTTGTGCCGGCCGCGCCGTGCACTCTCCTCCTATAAGGAGCAGGCTGCCAGAGTCATACTTACCAGTCTTCGGTCCTCAACCAGATAAACACAGAGACGAGCCTACCAGGAGGTGCCAACACCAGAGCTTTATTCAGAGCCATCACAGCAAGGCCAAGCAGGAAGGCCAGAGCAACAGAGCAGGAGCAAAGAGAGAGCGTGTGATCTGACCATGATCGTTCCTTAAGTACCTACTTAGCCCCTCCTCCTGAGCCCGCCTACTAGTCAATGAATGTAGGGTCAGATACTGGAAGGGGCTGTCTGAGTTTAGCGCACCAAGGGAGAGGAAGTGACGCAGGAGGCTAGGACCGGATACAGGAAGGAGGCGTCTGGGATTGGCGCATAGACAAAGAGTACGTGACCTAGGAAGTCAGGCCCAGATACCGGGAGGAGGCGTCTGGGGTCAGTGCTACACAAAGGGAAGGTACGTGACCCAGGAAGTCAGGAAGGACACAGGAAGGAGGCGTCTGGGGTTGACGTTGCACTTAGGGAGGGGACTAAGCAAAGGGAACTCGTCCTCTGCCATCCCACTCCCACGTGGCACAGCCCCCTGCCTCAGGAGCACATGCTCCGGCTACTTCCTTGTATACTGTACCTTCCCCAGCTTATCTCATATAGCACTGCCCACTGCCTCAGGACTTCTCCGTATCTAGCCCATCCCAGTTCACCACAACTCCGCCCACCACAGCCCCTGCCTCGGTTACTTCCAAATACCCAGATCTTACCCCAAACTTGCCACAATTCTCACCTGGCAGCAGACAACATCAGACAGTCCCTCACAATTCCCCCTTTTTGTTTAATAGAGGGGGCAGAGATGGGGTCTCCATACTAGGCCTTCAGTTCTGAGTGCCTCTATTGAACCTCTAAGAATCCTAAGGAAACCTCCTAATATAGTGGGTAGTAACAATAAATGCTCAATGGGTTACAAGGGAGGATATGGGGAAAGAGGTATGCTTAATCCAATCTCTAAGGTGACGAACAATATCATCAGTCTCGTGCTGGTGCCAAGTGTCAGATATGTTCTGCGCCAGTCTAATTAACACCCATAAAGCCTGGAGTACAGAGGAAAGATTTGTAGCCTGGATCTGGGAAAGGGCACGGGTATCATTACACCAAATAGAAAAGAAAGGGAGAGTGTCATTTATGCTTTGTGAAAGGGCGTCGCAAGTGGCGTTATGGTTTAAGGGTGTTACACAAATGGATCAATATAGGCCATTGCATGGCAACTGCTGTCTCAATTCCAGCCACATAAGTTCATTCCCAATGTCCTGAGTAGCCAATGCTACTTTATGAATCTGCTCCTCCAGCTGCTGATCAATATCAGCCTGCACTTGGAGGGCTTGGGCGAATTTATTGGCCAGTTCCTCTATTTTTGAGGCAAGCAATTGCTGTCCACTATATAAGTCTTGTATCTGGAACTCCTCAAAGATGGATGCTGCCAACGCAAGTGCCCCCAGCCATTCTCTCTTGTGTCCCAGGGCACTGGAGCTGACGCAACCTGTGGCAAAGTCCTGATTGCGCAAAAGTGAAAACAGTTTACTCAGTTTAGACATCCTAACTGTCTTTTCTTTCTGCTCTCTCTGAATTTTCTGTTGACTGTGTTTCTTCTCCTGTCCTTGTTGTCTCTCCTGGGGCTTCTTCAACTCGTTTTGTTCTTCTTTCTGGTACCCAGCGGCTCTGGCCATCAGGATCTGTAAGACATAAATACCCCGGCCCTCTCCACAACACTACAGATGGGCCTTGCCAGTTTCCCTCATCATCCTTCCAGAGGACTTTCTGGTTAAGGGATGGTGCATGTAGTGCTGTTTTTAAGGGGCCAGTTGAATTACAAGTGGGTGGTGTTATTAGCTGTAGCATGCTAGGGGATAGGCCCGTGTCTCTATCTAGACAGAGAAAATTGTATGTATATAAAGCTTTATCCACATCTGCTTGGGTAGGCCACCGCCCAGAGCCCTGACCTCCTACTCCCCCTTTTTGTTTACTGAGGGTAGCTTTCAAGGTACGATGGGCTCGCTCAACAATAGCCTGACCTGTGGGGTTATAGGGGATCCCTGTAACATGCTTAATGCCAAAGGATGTAAAAAAAGCAGTCATTTGTGTAGATAAATAGGCAGGCCCGTTGTCAGTTTTAATGACATGAGGGATCCCCACAGAGGTGAAGCAATGGTACAGATGCTTAATAACTGATGGGGTGTTCTCCTTACTGGATACAGTGGCCATCATAAATTTGGAAAAAGTATCAATGCAGACATGGATAGTGACACAGCCAAGATGAGTGACATCCATTTGCCACAAGTCATTGGGAAAAAGACCTCGTGGGTTAATCCCCTTACTGGATGGAGGGGGGAGAAAAGGAACACAGCGCACACAACGCCTCACAATTTGTCTAGCCTGTTCATGAGTTAAACCATACAGGCGTCTCAGGGAGCTCGCTGGTAGGTGTAAAAAATCATGGGCTTGTTCAGGAGGGGTGAGGACTGGCAGTAGGGAGCACTGTAAAGCACGATCCACTACATCATTGCCCTCAAAAATGCCTCCTGAGGTGGACTGATGAGAATAAACATGGAGAATGTAGAGGGGTTTGTTTCGCTGCAACAAAATTTGCTGTAATTCCCTCAGGAGAGAGGATATGGTGGAATTATGAGGTTGGAGGATGGCGTCCTCTATGCATTTAAGAACCTTTACTGCATATAAACTATCAGAGATTATGTTTATAGGCTCAGGATATTTACAGCAAGCATGGAGGATGGCAAAGAGCTCATTTTTCTGGGTAGAGTCATAGGAGGTTTCTAATACTGTTATTTCCTTGGAGGCCTCATGATAAATAGAGGCCTTATTGTTTTTTGTAGCATCAGTGAAAACATTTGAGCCTTGAACAGGTTCTCCCAAAACCTTTCGTTGGGGTAGTACTAAGGTTATTTGCTCTAGCATGGGGAGAAGCAGGCAGGAGGAATGGGGACTTATCTCGGCCCATTGGGAGCAATGTGCCCAAGACCAATAGGTTTGCATAATGGCTTCTCGCTGTCCAGGTTCAAAAATCGAGTAAAGTAAAGGTCGCTGCCCAGACAAGTGGACAGCCCTTTGTACTGCAGCTAAGGCTAGTTCCCCTAACATCTCATAATAATTTGGCAGTACCTTGTGAGCCTTCTTTGCATATACAAATTCTAATAATTTGGGACCTTGGTGTATAACACAAAAAGGGCTCTGTTGATTGACCAAGGAGACCTCTATTCTACCTTTGGGGTCCCATCTGGCAGTCTGGGCCTGGGCCTGGGCAGCAAGTGAGAATATTTGGGACACTGCTGCCTTAGCAGCAGGAGTCCATGCCTGAGGGGAGTTCAAATCTGAATTTCCTTTTAATATATCATATAAAGGCTGCATTACAGCAGGAGGAATGGGTGTGCGGGCCCTGAGCCATTGGATCTGTCCCACTAACTTTTAGAAGTGATTCAAGGTGGTTATCTTATCAAGCCCTAGTTCAGGAATTTGATTGCTAATAGAAACAGCCTCCATACAAAGGCCAAGGTATGTGAGTGGGTAATTTTGTTGGACTTTGTCAGGGGCCACCACCAAACCATAATGAGCAAGTGCAGAGACGGTTTCTTTTACCAATCTTGCTAGTGTCTTATCAGTGCTAGTGGCTAATAAAATATCATCCATGTAATGAAGTATTGTGGCTTTAGACCATTTGTCCCTGATAGGGTCCAGCACTCTCCCCACATAAGCCTGACATAAGGTGGGACTGCAGCACATTCCTTAGGGCAGGACCTTCCACTGATATCTTAAATCTGGTCCTGCATTATTGGTAGTGGGTATGGTAAAGGCAAATCTCTTTCTGTCTTCTGGGGATAATGGGATAGAGAAAAAACAATCTTGGATGTCTATGACTGTCACAGGCCATCCAGAAGGTACTAAATTAGGGGTGGGAAGGCCAGGCTGTAGGGTTCCCATGGGCTCTAGGGTGGTGTTAACTGCCCTGAGATCTATTAACATTCGAAATTTCCCTGATTTCTTTTTTATTACAAACACTGGGCTGTACCAGGGGCTGGACGTGGGCTCAATGTGCCCCACCTGTAACTGGTGTTGCACTATATCACGTAAAGCCTGGGCTTTCTCTGCAGGGAGGGGCCATTGGGGTACCCAGACTGGGTTATTAGATCTCCATGTTAGAGGAGTGGGTCTGATACAAGAAAATTTTTGCTGTTGCCCAACGGCCCCAATTAAAAATCCTGCGGGGGTGGTATATAAACAGATGCCCCACAAGCCTTCAAAATATCCCTTCCCCATAAATTGTATCTCAAACCAGCAACCACTAGGGGTCGGATGGTCCCTTGCTTATCCGCGAATTGCCAGGGCAGATCCTCTGCTGATACCCATGCTTGTTGCGCCCCTCCGACCCCATTGATCTTTGTGGCATCCGTTTGGACTGGCCAAGATGGGGGCCAAAATAGTTGTGAGATGACAGAACGATCAGCTCCTGTGTCTAATAATCCCTTAAAGGATCGCCCCTTAATTTGGATAGTTGCCCATGGCTTACTGTGTTCTATATGTTGTACCCAATTAATATAATTATTGTGGCTATCCGATAGGGGGAGGGCTTGAGCCACTACCTCTCCTTTGTCTATGTAAGCTGCCGAGTCATGTGGGTTAGTTATTATAATCTGTTGCTGGGGTTGGTGAACAATAACCGTGGTGTGGACAATAACAGGGGTATATAGTGAGAGGCCCACCACGAGGGCTGCTTGGAGGGCAGAATTAAGCCCAGTCACTGGCATTATGGTTGTATCTCCGGGGTCTATTTGGAAATTTCCTTTGCTGTAAAGGGGAAGTCCGAACCACCGGGTAGAAGTTGGATATATTCCTGATGCAGCCCCGAGGGCGCATTCTGAGGGGGTGGAGCTTCCATCTGGTAAGCTTGTTGAGGGGCCCTTGAGGGGCCCCTTGCCCCGCCTCCCGACTAGCTTGCAGCATTCTTTAGCATAATGGCCGGATTTGTTACAATTGTAACAAATTACCTTGGGGCGGGCTCCACCAGGTTTCTGGCGGCATTGCGCCTTGAAAT